CTTTCTTAAAACTGAATTGAGGAACTATAACTATAGCTTTAAGAAAATATTGATATTAAAAAGTTGAATTTTATTTAAATTAAACGCAATCTTACTATATATATAGCTTTAAACATGAATATCGTTCTTTGGTACAATTTGAGCTTTTCTTTTGAGAAAGAAGATGAAGAGTGTTGACTTAAGAGATTACAATTTGAGTTTTTCCATTGGTTTTCAATCATTTTTGGCAAAGCCGTGTCTCAATGTATACATTTGAAACATTTGCGTAGGGCATCAATTTTTTTTGGAAAAGTTGAAATGGCATATTTTTTACTAGTTTCATTTAGTTAAACTCAAATAAAAAATTATACAAACATAGATTTAAACATTGAAAATTTTGTGATAGTTAAAATAAACAAAACATTGGCCTATAATGTACATGATAAAAAATAAAACTATTGGCTTCTAATGGTTAACTAAAAATATATAAACAAATTTTAATTGTATTGTTAAAGAATTAGAGTAAAGTAAACGTCGAATTAGTTTGTTACATAAAAGATTGAGTGACTTGACTATCTTATTTTTATTTGAATATATCACATGAAAATTTGAAAATTTTGATTATTTTCCATCAAAAAATTTTAGTTAAAAGCTTTGATTTTGAAAATTTGATTACTAATTTTGTTGAACAAAAAGAAAAAAATATATAACTAATATTTTAATTGCTACTTTAGGTTGTTTATTTATTTTTTATATGACTACGAGATTTATTATTGTATATATATATATTTTTTATATGCACTAAGGTATTTTATCGCTTCGAACAGGCATGCGCATATACATACTAAAAAATCGAGAGTCTATACTTAATTAAGTCAAAAATGTTGGAACGATCGTACCACGGTGGTCCAAGCAGGACTGGATCGGAATCTGGTATAAAGATTACAAATTATATCGAGCATGCATATGCATGAACGACGTATCTAATTAATTACGATTTTTTTTTGCTCAAAATCTAATTACTTACTTAATATTGTCGGAATATATATAACAAAAAGTGTTTTCATAATGACAAAGATTGTTTGATCGCGACAACAGAATCGGTCAGTGTTTGGATCTGCAGATACATAAACCAGTCTCTGTCTGTAATTTCTTACTCTATGTTGTATTATATTACTTAATTTTTAAAGTTGTACATAAATTAAAAAATTATTTATTTTTTTGGTTTTTCAAAATAAAACATATATTATCATCAATTTCAAAACAGTTCAACTAATTAAAAAATAATCTGCAGAATTTAAACAGTAAAAAACAATAAAAATACAATTAATTTTACATAGAAAATTAAAAATATAATTTATTATGAAATAAAAAATTTTCTCTTAAACATCGTCTGTTATGATATGGAAAGAATATTAACTTCTATTTAAAAAAAATCAGCCTTGATCTTTGAAAAACGTTACATCTCCATCTAAATTGTGTGTGTTAAAGTTAAACTGTAAAATTACTTTTGAGCACGTGACTCATTTTATCTCACGTGGTTCTCGGATCTCGACCATTTCTTGAATTTTCGATTTCCATGACCCTCGTGATTATGAATTTATGATACTATTTCTGAATCATTTTCTGTGGATAAGTTTCTTCTTAGTGACTTTCACATGTCTACTTTTATGAACTTACAAGTGGCTTCATATTCTTTATAGTTTATATATGCTCACCAGTCACCAAACTCCTTCTAAAGATAATTACTGTTCTTCAACTAACTATACATATATTCCGTTTTTTCTTTTTTTGAAAACGCATTCATCAATCACGGAACATGCCACTTATATTCTGTTATAAATTATTTTATTACTTTACAGTAATTACGTCAAATTAACTTGATTCACTATTACTTGACGGATCAAAAATATGGTGGTCTAGTGATAACTTATGTTCTGGATTCAAACTTTTTTTAAGATGAAAAGTTATTATTTAATTTGAAATATCTAAAAACTGATTATGATACAAAATAGATTATGAACCAAAGATTCAGAATTATCATGATTTTTTATTTATAAAAAAAAATACTTGACAGGAAAGAATATTAATTTAACTTCACAAAAGCTTCCAAATGTTTCGAATTGGAAAAATTCTATATATCGATAGGAGGTCTTTACATATTCTAAAAC